TATTGTAGTTGTCCTCTGGTTGTAGGTGTGTTATTGTAGTTGTCCTCTGGTTGTAGGTGTGTTATTGTAGTTGTCCTCTGGTTGTAGGTGTGTTATTGTAGTTGTCCTCTGGTTGTAGGTGTGTTATTGTAGTTGTCCTCTGGTTGTAGGTGTGTTATTGTAGTTGTCCTCTGGTTGTAGGTGTGTTATTGTAGTTGTCCTCTGGTTGTAGGTGTGTTATTGTAGTTGTCCTCTGGTTGTAGGTGTGTGTTATTGTAGTTGTCCTCTGGTTGTAGGTGTGTTATTGTAGTTGTTCTCTGGTTGTAGGTGTGTTATTGTAGTTGTCCTCTGGTTGTAGGTGTGTTATTGTAGTTGTCCTCTGGTTGTAGGTGTGTTATTGTAGTTGTTCTCTGGTTGTGGGTGTGTTATTGTAGTTGTCCTCTGGTTGTAGGTGTGTTATTGTAGTTGTGTCATTGTTTTTCTCTGGACTCTGTAACCAAATCTGACCTGTTTCTGCTGAATTCACTCACCTCCCAGCTGTTGTTATTGTCAGTAAACACAAGTGTTTTCATTTTTCTCTCCATCATTTTAGCTCTGATTTTTGAATAACACACTCAGATTTGTTACATGTTGTTACTTCAGTAAACTACATGCAGGGCTCATAGTAATCAGGCACGGTGCTGCATTTCTGTACAGCCAAATATTTAACAGCCATTTCTCTGGGCCAATCAGATGAGCAGATTTCACTTCAAACACACTGGACAGGCCTACTAGCCAATCAGAAATCAGACGGAGGCGGGACTTTTGACAAAACTTCGATTCAAATCCAGCAGAAATTGCGGTGCTCAAAACAAACGTCTTTGTTAGAACAAGTTTGAAAGAGAACTGGAAACAATACTGAAGATGTGAACTTTAAATACCAGCAGAAAGACATTTATTGATTTCTTCCCCTGAGAGAGACGAGCCTCACAGATGGATGCTAAYGTTAGCTAACWGCAGACAGGTGGAGTCAGGGAAGAGAGGAGGCGTGGCTTTAAWCCCAGTGACCCAGGAAACAACATGTGACCAACAGGTGTGTGTTTACTGACAGAAACTGAGTCAGGTGTTGTGTGAAAACTTGATTGTCTGCCTCTGTGCAGGAGTGTGTAGCCTATCTGTTATARCACTGTTTATGTTTCCTTAGTTGTTGTAATTTAACAGTATTAACTAGRGATGCATCAAATAATGGTTTATTAGATTAAAAATGTTCCAGTCAGTTAACTGATATCTTCTGCAGCGCATCACCTGGTCCATTTAAACCGCTCTAACTGGAAAGGTGCACCTTCTCTGAGACGCTGTTTCAATTCAAGCTAAAAGTAGAGACTTCAAACTTTAACCCAGTTTTTAAATTGTTTCATTAGGTGAAGTAGAACTGGACATATGATAAATAATGTATCCTACACTTTATTTTCTTAAAATGCCAGGTCCAGTTTGATGCGTGTCACGAGCAGGAAACACATCCTGTGGAAATAAACACCTCAATCCACCGTCAGCTTCATCTTTCTGTGGAGCCAACAAATAAAATAAAATAAATAAAAACCCTCCCATCTCTTCTCTGACCAAAGCCTAAAGTTACTTTTCAAGCAACCAAAAACTACAGAAGTAAGAGAAAAAGATGTGAGCAGCTCTGAGGTCTGACAGCAGGGGAGGAGGAGGGACAGACCTGCTCCAGAACCATGATTATTGGGTCTACTAATAATAATTTAATAATAGTTTTACATCCCATCATATCAGCTGTATTTTATTATTCTACCACTTTAAAACAGGACATTTGGGGATTTTAATGAGCAAAATAGTTTATATTTGGAACCAGGCTTTATGAAAAGTGTAACATATTTAATAATTANACTCTGGCTGTAGCACTTATGTTGTTTCAGTTCAAAGAAACTTCAGGTAATGAAGCAGAAATCAAAGAGCAACAAGTGATTTATCACAGAATGACAACATGAGGAGACACAAAGCAAAACAACGAGGGCAGACAGCCGACACAGGCAGTTAGGACAAGAGAAGAACCTTTGAACTGTGGAGAAATGACTGRAAACACAGACGTGTGCCTCTGAACTCCCCTCCTCCCCACTGGGACTGGAGAGGAGGAGAAACTGAGAGGAGCTGAAGGAGAGCTTTCCTGCTGAGAACAAGGCAGGCAGGGAGGGAGGAAGAGAGGAGACGAGTGGAGGAAGGAAGGAGGCACGCTGAGGTAACTACTGAGTGGACACCTCCAGTCCAGCACAACCCCTGTGTGTCTGACTTTATACTGTGTTTTAACAAAAATCCCTCATCACAGCTTCATGGGCAGCTTCAAAATACTAAAGTCCTCACAGCGTGGTTCAACTACTCTGTTTCACTACAAGTTTATTTCACAACATCTGTTCCAAACCACTGTCCTCTTCACAGCTGTCCTTCCTCACACAGCTGACAGGACTGTGTGGTGTGTGTGGTAGACAGTACAACTTTATACTATCATCATTACATCATCACACCTGTGTCAGCAGGGCTGTGAGTGCAGACACACCTGAGCAGGAGTTCAAAATATAATGAAGAAATTCTAGTGTTTTAAAACACGTTTAGACAGAATAATAATCCTCAAAACTTCCTCCTCCAAGTTACATCATGTAACAGGATCATGTCCTCCTCTCCTCTCTGCACGTCTCACAGAGCGAAACTTTAACAACCGTAGTTTTTTTACATCCAACTGTTGGAGAAAAAACTTATTTTTATGTATTGTTACCCACAGAGATGATTAAAAAAAAGACGTGGACATTCATCCAGTCATAAATCCATCTTGTTAATGTAAAGTGGACTTCTGCTCTGATGATGATGATGATGATGAAGATGATGAAGATGAGCGTGCAGCAGAGCAGCAGCTCATTGTTTGACAGGCAGAAACATTGGGTTTGATTTAGATTACAGTTTTCTACAAAAAATGTTTTAAAAATTACATTATCTGAACTTTTTATGATAATTCTCCACTGTGATATAAACTGTTACTGTGAAGGTGAAGAAATTTATAGTTATTACAGATTAGTACTCACGTTAGAAACAACAGTAGATTATCAGCGTTTCCTTTTTATAATATTTTATAATGTTTGATCTATTATGTTTTGATTGATATAGATTAGTTACATGTCCGAATTATAACAACACATAATTAAAACGTTATAATAACAGTAGATGAGATTTTTATCTGACTGCCTGTGATTCAGCCGTAGGTCAGTAGGGGGCGAACTCAGGCATTGAAGAATCGTGTATAAAAACATGTACTTCCTGATTGTGAGTCAGTGTGGTTTTCCTTGTCAGCTGGTGACAAATAAACCTCACGCAGGTCCAGAATGCTGGTGTTGTATGACTTTATTCCTTTCACAAATCATTTTATTTAACAATTGTGTTTTCATCTTGACTTCAGTCGTATTGATCATGTATTTTCTTACACTGTTGTGATTTGAATGTAAATGTAAAAAGGCTCGGACTCTCAATGTGCAGTGGTACTGAAAAATATGCATTGCTCAAATCTATGCAGCTGAAAAACCTATGTTCTGGTCTTATTGCATTCAACATGACATAAGGATTTGGTGTGTCATAAAATGTAGATACCACAACTTTATTTATTGGTCACAAATCCTGCACAAGACGATATTCAATCTTGTTTGCTTTTGGCACTGGACAGATGTTCCACGGAGACGAAGTTGGTATCAGGACGCCATTTTCTATCAACCCCATGATAGTTTTTTCACACCCTAAATKACATTATCTTTACTTTTTATGATAATTCTCCACTGTGATATATACAGTTACCATGAAGGGGTTCAGTATATACCCTGATGTGAATCTGAGGTCACACCACCCAGCCCCACCTGTCCATCAGGACTGACACTGATAATACCAGCAGGCTGTCCTGTCCTCAGCTCGTCTCTAAAGTACAGGCATGGACCACGGTCCAGTTCTGYTTTTAGAAACACTGCTCTTTATTTACAATATGCTCAAGAGTTTTACAGGATGCAGCTTTTCTAGTCTTTACAGCAGTGGTGGCTAAGTACCAATCCACTAACTAAGATTCATAGTTTCTCAAATGCTGAACTACTGTACAGSTTATAAAAAGTCAGAGCTAACGCTAACTGATAGTGCTAACTGAAGGTGTGTCATTTAAACATGCACATGTCATATCAACACACTGCTTCAAAGACAATTAGATTCTCTTCTAAAAGGTACAATATGTCTCAGATACATATCTATAAACTATAAAATACCAGAAAACAAAATCCTGCATGAAAACATCCAGCAGAGTCCCAGCGCTCCACAACACCAGCTTTCTGCCTGCTGCTGCTCCTAACAGGACAGCTGCGATGCAGCAGTCAGTCATCACAAACTAACCAACGAGGAGGAAGATGAGGTGCCACAAAAAATAAAATAATTAGCTTTGAGACAAGTGCAAGAGGAAAACCAGCTGAAGCCAAACCACATGAATAAATACAGAGTGAGAGAAAAGAAAAGCTTCAGATCTCTTACCTGCTGCACAGCAGAGTCCAGAGGCCTTACTGGTCCATCAGCACCGTGCTGTCTGCCAGCCTGGTACTGTCAGAGCCCACACACACACACACACACACACACACACACACACACACACACACACACACACACAGGTCTAATTAAACTAGGGTACGATGAGGTCTTAAGGAGACCTCTGAGAGGTGGCAGCTAAAATATTCAGCATGTCCTAGATGGATGGAGCTTTTAGCCAGAACCTAAATATTTAATATAAACTCATTTTTAACTCCTGAGAGAAAACTCTACTGAACTTGTTAATATTTACATTTACATGTCCTGATTGAACCAACTGGATGTAAATATCTGCAGCGTCAGGGTCACGTTCAGCTGCAGCCTAACCTGATCACAAAGCATCGAGTCACAAGTTCAGACTTGTGTTTCCTTTGTGTTTCCAGGCCAAGATATGCAACAACTAATGTGCTGAACTGAAGCAGGTGGCAGGTTTCCTGCTAACAGCTCGGTTAGTGAGACAGTTCAGTCACTCAGCTTCAGGAAGACACAAACTGAGACGAAGGACGAACATACCCTGAGCTGTTCCACAGATATGACTTGATTTGTCTCACTAACTGGGAAGACTTGAAAAGTTGATCTAATTCTTATTTTTATTGTATTCTAATAAGAATTTCATGATGTCATTAAAGTGGAAATCTTAAAGCATATTTGGATATCCCAGCTGGTAGCTCCACTACCGCACAGGAAAAGTAGAACAAATGTAGGAATTTTCTTTTTAAAACCATGTTAGCTGTTGATTCTGCTCAGAAGAGTCTTTCAAAACATTCTTCAGGATCATATTGTGGATTTTTCATATTTTGGACAGCCCTGGTGAAAGTTACTAATGATAATCTCATGGCTTCAGACATTGGAGTTCCTCAGGGTTCAGTGCTTGGACCAATCCTCTTTATATATGCTTCCATTAGGTAAAGTTATTCAACAGCACTGTTGTTTTTGACTGCCATTTTAATTTTAGTCTTAGTCTTCTGAACAAAAATACATCTGTTTTAGTCAGTTTTAGTCATTTATTTAATGGTTTTAGTCCAGTTTTAGTCGATGAAAGCTTAAA